GACCTTTCTTCAAGTAACTGCTGGTTTACTCACCTAGAATCAACTGACAACCACCTACCCCCCTTCTCAGAAATTCTGCTGAAATTTGACTGTAAAACAACCAGTCTGCCTGCGGTCACTATGACACAGAGCAGTAGTAGCTTGATTTCACTCTAGCCAGTTTCAAGGAGGGGATTTCCAGATTCTGTTACACACTGTTACAAAAATGCAGTTTTCCAACAAATGGGACCTGGGCTCACTTCATATTCATATGATGTCTCTCTCTTGGTTTTTTGGTTTTTTTTTTTTTGTCAGTCATGGAGCTTGAACTTGAGTCTGTCCCTCAGCTCTTCAGCTCAAGGCCAGAGCTCTACCACTTGAGCCACAGTGCCACTTCCCATTTTCTGGTGGTTAATTGGAGATAAGAGTCTCACAGACTTTCCTGCCCAAGCTGGCTTTGAACTGTAATCCTCAGATTTCAGCCTCCTGAGTAGTTAGGATTTCAGATGTGAGCCACAGGCACTCGTTATGATGTCTCTTTAACAAACTCTACTTTGCCTTGGAGCTTCCATAAGGTCAGCTGAGGACACACCAAGAAAATGGCCATCTACAAACCAAGGCCTTTAGTATAAAGAAACCCACAGACAACTTAAACTTTGATTTCCAGCCAGTGGCTCAAGTCTATATTTTTAGCTACTCAGGAGGCTGAGATCTGAGGAGCACAGTTCAAAGCCAGACTGGGCAGGAACATCCAAGAAACTTATCTCCCAATAAACCACTCAGAAAACCGGAAGTGACACTCTGGCTCCCTCAAGTGGTAGAGTGTTAGCCTTGAGCTGAAGAGCTCAGGTGCAGGCCCAGAGTTCAAGACCCATGACTGACAAAAAAAAAAATTATAACCACACACACACACACACACACACACACACACACACACACACACACACACACACACACACACACACACACACACACACACACACACACACACACACACACACACACACACACACACACACACACACACACACACACCGTACTTCATTCCTACACCATCTAAATCTCATCTTACCAAGTCCTGTTTCACAGACTCCTTTCTGACCTTGTCAGATTAGAATAGGATAGACATTTAGAATGTGAAATGATCACCAAACAAAGATGGAAGAAATGCCAAGTAGGAAGGTGAGGACTAGCAAATGGCACCAAAATGGTAACTGAAGCTCTATGCATGCATGAGCCTGCCTAGAAATAGGTCATGAAGGTGAGAAGGGCTTGGGCCTGAGTCTCAAACAGCTCTCTCACACAAGTGAGAAAACATCTCCCAGAATCTGCCTTCTTTCAAATCCCTAGATTTATTTATTGTTTTATTTATTTGCCAGTCCTGGGGCTTGAACTTGGGATCTGGGTACTACTGTCCCTGAGCTCCTCTAGCTCAAGGGATAGCACTCTACCACTTGAGCCACAGCGCCACTTCCAGCTTTTTCTGTGTATGTGGTACTCAGGGCTTGATGCATGCTAAGCAAGCACTCTATCACTAAGCCACACTCCCAGTCCCACAGATTCTTATGTGGCCCTCATGTAAGTTTGATTTGGGTATGAACATGAACTCCAAACACTGACTTGTGTTAACTGAATCAGTAGGCATAAATATACTTCTCAAAATGACAATTCATGGTTTCACAGTGAAAACCATCAACCAGCAGGCATTTTGCTACTGGGCAGCATTTTCCTTTCCTGAAACAAATATACAGTAAACTGCTAGATGACCATGAGGTAAGAATGAGGTAAGTCAAGACATCAACAACCTAGAGGATATCCAGAGGGTCCCAATGGGAAAGAGAAAGGACTCTTACAGATCAGAAAGCAGCAAGAGAAGTGAGACCCCAGAGGGTAACAACAACTAAAGGGACAAGCAGAGATGGTGTTGCTACTGGAGCCTCACGAGGGTGACATTGCGGAGAAGACTGCCAGGTCAAAGATAGCTGAAGTGCTGGGGGGAGGCCAACACCTCCATAAACTGCCCTCTCTTCCCAGTGATATCTTCCATAATGGGCTCTGGACATACCTTTTCTAGAAGCCACACCATAACAACAGTCCAATGTGGTGCAAGGAATTAGCCTTACCTTCAAAGGCTGATTTGTTACTCAGTCTCAAACAAGTGCTGAATCAATCTCTAAATGCCTCTAAGAACTTCTTGGGGCTTCAAGATTGGGTTTTTAACATAATGGCTCAGTTCAAATCTCAAAAGTCAGAGTTGCTGGGGGCCGGTGGCTCATACCTGTAATCCTAGCTACTCAGAAGACTGAGATATGAGGATCACAGTTCAAAGCCAGCCTGGACTGGAAAGTCCGTGAGACTTATCTCCAATTAATCACCAAAAAACCCTAAGTGGTGCTGTGGCTCAAGTGGTAGAGTGCTGGCCTTGAGCTGAAGAGCTCAGGGACAGTGCCCAGGCCCAGAATTCAAGCTCCACAACTGACCAAAAAAACAAAGTCTGAGTTAAACTGGGCACTGGCAGTTCACACTTATAATCCTAGCCACTCGAGAGGCAGACATTTGAGGATCTACATTTGAAGCCAGTTTGGGCAGGAAAGTCCACGAGACTCTTTCCAATTAACTAGCCACCAAGTACCCAAGACAGAAGTGGAACTGTGGCTCAAGTGACAGAGCCCTAACCTTGAGCAAAAAAGCTCAGGGACAATACCCAGGCACTGAGTTAAGCCCTAGGACCGGCGCACGCACAGACAAACACACACACACACAAAGTATAAATTGACAAGTCCTAGAAATTGTAGACTTTAATCAGTGCTAAAAATGGAAATCTGAAGCTGAGCATGGTGGTATACTCCTGTAACACCAGCACTTGAGAATTTGAGGTAGGAAGATTGTGAGGACAGCCTGAACTTCAGAGAGCTCAAGGACAGTGTAGTCTATATAACTAAACCCTACCTAAAGTAAAATGTTAAAAAAATTGACTCTCGGGGGCAGAGGGAAGATGGGAAGGGATGGGAAGGGGAAACAAAGGAGGAGGCTATAATGCTTGATAAGAAATGTACTCATGGGGCTGGGAAGGTGGCTCAGTGGTAGAGCGCTTGCCTTGCATGCCAGAGGCCCTGGGTTCAATGCCTCAGCACTACATAAGCAAAAAGAAAAAAGCCAGAAGTGGTGCTGTGGCTCAAGTGGTAGAGCGCTAACCTTGAGCTGAAGAGCTGAGGGACAGTGCCCAGGCACAGAGTTCAGGCCCCACAACCGGACCCCCCCCCAAAAAAAAAAAAAGCCAGAAGTGGCACTGTGGCTCAAGTGGTAGAGTGCTAGCCTTGAGCTGAAGAGCTGAGGGACAGTGCCCAGGCACGGAGTTCAGGCCCCACGACCAGACCAAAAAAAAAAATTTAAAAAAAAAAAAAAAAAAAAGAAATGTACTCATTATCTTGCCCATGTAATTGTAACCCCTTTGTACAGTATTTTCACAATAAAAAAATAAAAATTGACTCTCCCATCCACCCACAGACAAGTGAACACACATCTATCTCTACAAAGCAGTTCTCTACAGGCCAGGTTACTACCTGGCAAGAGCCTGAACTTACACAACTAATATCTAAATTTTCAGAGTAGAGCTTTTCATTTATCAAAAGCATAAAATTCTTCTGCCAATGATCTTTAATTCTAATCATTTTCTCTATGAAGGCATTTCTCTTTTTAAAGTATATGAGAATGATGTTTATGTCAAGATTAACTTAATGTATCAAGAAATATTTTAAATGTATTCTATTTTTTCAATGAATGAGGCTATAATTTAGTACAGTTAAAAATGTCTTGGGGCTGGGAAGGTGGTTCAGTGGTAGAGTGCTTGCCTTACATGCATGAGGCCCTGGGTTCGATTCCTCAGCACCACATAAGCAAAAGGAAAAAAGCCAGAAGTGGTGCTGTGGCTCAAGTGGTAGAGTGCTAGCCTTGAGCTGAAGAGCTGAGGGACAGTGCCCAGGCCCAGAATCCAGGCCCCATGACCGGACCCCCGCCCCCCCAAAAAATGTCTTGTCTAGAGATATTAAATTGATCTTCCCTCATTAAGACATCACCACTTTTGGCAATGGAGTGCTCCTTTGAATGCTATGTAATGCCTCCATACCACACTTGTAGTACAAACCTGGCCCTTGGGGTGGGGGCAGCTTTTACTCCACAGCATACTGTCTTTATTTGGTTCTTACTTGTGTATATTTAATGAAAAACATTCCTGTGTAAAACTTTGTGAATGTAGTTGTTTGCATACATTCTTACTGTGAATCTGTGCATGGCAAAGTAATATGGAAACTGTAAAACAAAAACCATAAAAACACCTGTGCAGTAACTAAGCTGGAGACAGCTTAAACACAATGTTCAGTTTGTAAAAGGGCCTTCCTATTTTCTATGGCAAAGCTGTTGATGCTTGAAAAACAGAAGCAATACTTGATTTATTTTTGTAAGTATTTAGAATGTTATTTTAAATAATGATTGCCCAATATAATAGTTGTGGGGTTTTTTTGTTTTTTTTTTTTTTTTGCTTGCCAGTCCTGGGCTTGAACTCAGGGCCTGGGCACTTTCCCTAAGCTTCTTTTGCTCAAGGCTAGCACTCTACCACTTGAGTCACAGCGCCACTTCAGGCTTTTTCTGTGTATGTGGTACTAAGGAATGGAACCCAGGGCTTCATGCATGCTAGGCAAGAACTCTACCACTAAGTCACATTCCCAGCCCATTAAATGTTTTTAATATATAAACTTTCTTCTGAAAAAAAAAAAATTCTTCTGCCAATGAAAAGAGCAGGAGAGAAAACTGCCATGCTTTCCTCCAGCACCAATATATATATACAAGTTACTCAATGATGGCAGCTCCAAGCCCTTCTTATGTTTGACTCTTCCAAATGTAAGGGCTACAGAAACACCTTAAGATTTACTTAGAATTCCTTTACAGCCATGCATTTAAGATAAGTCTGATGGAACAGGTTACTGTCACCATCAAAGACTGCTAAAAATATAGTGAAGACTCACTTTTCTCTACAATCTTTAACTTCTGGAAGCTTTCCAGTACCTCCCCATTTAGTATTCTGGGTAAGAAGTCCCGTATTTGCATCACTTCAGTTGTCAACCGCTCCAGGTCCTTCTTTCTGACTTTAACAAATTCTTCTTTAGTTCCAATGTGCTAAAAGAATAAACAGATTCTTCAGATTACTATGTTTCTTTTCAGATGACTAAAACCAGCAGTCCTAAGTTAACTTGCTTCCCTTTTCTTCCCTGCCTCTATGTTTGTAATTGTTTCAAAAGCTTATGTTTACCTAGTGTGCCTTTTGATATAGGTTATATACAAAATAGCACTGAGTACTCAAGCCCCAGCCATTGAAATGGGAACAAGCCACTATGGCTTGCCTACCTACAATCAAGGCTAAGGCAAGAATCGCTTAGGCCCAGGAGTTCTAGGGCAGCCTGGGTAACACAGCAAGATACCAGTTCAAAAACAGATTGAGTTGTGCACCAGTCTCTCAGGAGGCTGAGATTTGAGGATGGCGGTTCAAAGTGTGGGCAGGAAAGTCTATGAGATTCATATCTCCAACAAGAGAAGGAGAGGAGGAGGAAAGAAGAGAAGGAAGGAGGGAAGGAGGAAGGGAGGGAAAGAGGAAGGAAGGGAGGAAAGCAAGAAGGGAAGGAGGGAGGGAAGAAAAAAAGCCAGAAGTGGAGCTGTGGCTCCAGTGGTAGAGTACTAACCTTGAACGAAAAACATCAGGGACAAAGCCCAGGCCCTGACTTCAAACCCTAGGCACACTAAAGAGGGAGTGGGTGAGGTGGGGAGCCACCTACTAAAGGGAAAAAAGCGCTTTCAATGCTGGGTGCCAGTGGCTCAACCTGTAATCCTAAGTACTCAAGAGGCTGAAATCACAGGATTGTGGTTCAAAGCCAGCCAAGGCAGGACTGTCTGTGAGACTCTTCAGTTTCAAATGGTAGAGCACTAGCCTTGAGCACAAGAGCTCAGAGACAGGGCTGAGGTCCTGAGTTCAAGCTCCAAGACCAGAAAAAAAAAAGTGCATCCAAGTGTCCTATCCTGCAAAGCCAAAGAAACCAGCAGCATCTATCATAGCAGTACCAGGCTACCGGGAAGGAGGGAGGCAAGTGCAGCTTACTGGATCCCCAGCATGGCACCAGCCAAGTATCACCACCCACCTACTGTCCCTAACATTGGGGTAGAGGTAGGGCCCTTTCTCAGGGCAGCACTGTAGCAAGGGTCAGAACATGGAAAGGAACATAGGTTTGACTGGAGTCTAGCATCTTCTCCTGGTCACAGATGACAGACATCACTGCTTGGCAGTCCAGACCCTGAATTCTCTCCACCCAGACCAGGCTAGGTACAGGTGCAGCCCCAAGTCTGCAGCCATAACCCCAGGGTCCTCCTGACCTGCAGCCTGAGGGTCTCTGGGGGATTCCCCTTCTGCCTCTGCCTTGAGCCCAGTCCTGTGCTGTGGGGCCAGGGCACACTGGCCTCGAGCCCTGGACAAGGCCTTGAGGAGCATGGAATGCTGCTCAATAGGCTCTGGGCAGGACCACCCCACTGACCCGGCTGGCCTCCTCAGCACCGACTGCCTCGCCCATGGCCACAGCCTAGTTTCCGAGTGCCTGCGTGCTGTCCTTTGACCTCCTGCAAGCCAGAAAGTGCAGGACTGCAACCACGCTGGGTCCAGACAGAAAGCCTTGAGGCTCAAGTCTCCTGGAGTTTGCACCACATTCTCTGTGATGAGAAAGAGATCGAAGGGGTGGTCAGCACGGTTCCACTCAGCAGTCACGTTCAGCCAGGCGGCCAACTGCAAAGTGAGGACCAGGCATGAGTGTCCTGTCCTGCTTGGTGGGGGTCCAGATGGCATCTTCCCTCTTCCCTCCTCCCCTGCTGGGCTCTGGGCTTTCCTCTTAAGGGTTGCTTTTTTGTGTGCCCCAAGAGAGCCACACCCCCTCTACCTGCTCTGGGACACTAGGGAGACAAGGGGCCACTCCCTCCTCCTCTGCACCCCTGTACCTGCCCTAATACACTGTGGAGACTGGGATGCTTCCCCTCCACACCCATGCAACTGCCAAGGGACACTGGGGACACTCCCCCTCCACCCTCCTGTACCTGCCCCAGGCACTGGGGAGACCAGAGGCCCACTCTCCTCCACACCCCTGCAGCTGCCCCGGGACGCCGTGGAGACGGGGCCGCTCCACACACACACACACACAGACCGGGCCGCTACACACACACACACACACACACACACACACACACACGGCCCTCCCGCTACACACACACACACACACACGGCCCTCCCGCTACACACACACACACACACACACACACACACACACACACACACACACACACACACACACACACACACACACGGCCCTGCAGCTGCCCCGGACGGTGACTCTAGGGGAGCACACAGCCCGGCCGGAGCCGCCGCCGAGGTCGGCCGGGGTCGCCGCCGAGGTCGGCCGGGGTACGGTCCACCTCCTCAGCACTTCCAGGACCGCTTCCTCCCGGCCTCAGCTCCACCCCGGGAACTAGCGGTTCTCCACAGACTCGCAGTGAGGGGCTCGGAGGCCCCGCCGCGGGGCCGGGAGGCTTTCCTACGGGTGCTTTACAGGCAACGACCCATCGACATCCGCCTGGCTAACCTCGCGGCCACCCGTCCTAGATTTTGGCGAGCACAAGGCAGGACACGCACGGCGGCCGAGGAACAGCTCTGCCCAGCGCCGGCGCCCCGGCCCACAGAACGCGCGGAGGCGAGCGGCGCCTCTGTGACGTCATCGGCCCGCGCGCCGCGGTGCGCGCCGCCGCCTCTGCGCAGGCGCGGCCCGGGCCGCGCGGCGGGCGGCCGGCGGCGGCGAGCGGCGACGAGCGGCGGGCGCGCGGCCGGGGATGCTCGAGCTGACGCGATGGCCCCCGCCATGCAGTCGGCGGAGATCCAGTTTGCTCAGCGGTTGGCGTCCAGCGAGAAGGGCGTCCGCGACCGGGCGGTGAGGAAGCTGCGCCAGTACCTCAGCGTGAAGACGCGGAGAGAGACAGGTGGGCGCCGCGGGGCGGCCGCGCCACATGGCGCCGGGCCTGGCCGGGCTTGCGCCGTCCTCCCCGGCGCGTCGGGCGCCGGGACCGGCCGAGGCGGCCCGGGGCCCGGGGCGGCCTGGCCGTGTCCAGTCGTGAGCCGAAATCCGGCGAGCGCGAAGCTGCGAACGAGCCCCGCTCGGCCGGTCTCGGGTCCGCGCGTGCCGCCGCCGCGCCGGCCCGGAGGGGTGGTTTGCGGCTCCGGGGGTCCTTTCCCGCTGGCGCCCCGGGAGGGGACGTGGCTCCCGCCCTGGAGCCGTCGGAGCCGGGGAGCCGGGCTGTGCGCGGAGCGGGCCGGGAGAGGGGATGGAGCTGGAGCAGGTACCGGAGGGAGCTGCCCTGGGGAAGAGCCCTCCAGACCGCCGGCGGCCGGAGAGCAGCCCGGGCGTCCGGCTGCAGGCCCGGGGAACGCGGCCCACCGCCCGTGGAGCGGGGAGGGGGCCTGTGGGGATGGGGCCGGTCCCGGCAGCGCTTTGCAGGTAGCTGCGGTGGAGTGCCGCGGGAGGACGCTGTTTTCCTCCTCCAAAGTAGGCTCTGTCGGAAGTGGCGCTGTGGCTCCCCGTGGTGGAGCGCTAGCCTGGAGCAAGAAAACCCCTCAGGGACAGACCCCCCAGGTCCTGAGTTTAAGCCCCACGACCGACAAAAAGAAAAGTAACATCGGAATAGGTTCTGTAACCTCTTGAGTGAAGTCGTAGGGCAAGGTGCGAACTGCAGTGTGCTGTGCAAGTTTTATATTACCCCAAGGCAGTTAAGTTAGCTACTGCTAATAGTAACACATTTGAAATCTGCTTAAAAGAATAAACAGTATCTCCTCCATTGCTTACATTCTTTGTTTCCTATTGAAGCCGAGTGTTAAAAGACCACAAATGCAGCGGGGCTTAGTTGGCCCCCACTTGGCTACTCAAAAGGCTGAGATCTGAAAACCTCAGTTCAATGCCAGCCCATAGGAAAGTCTGTGAGACTCTTACCACAGTTAATCACCAAATCACCAAAAAGTGTACCGTGTGGCTCAAGTGGTAGAGCACTAGCCTTGCACAAAAGCCCAGGGACAGTGCTGAGCCCCTGAGTTGACTAGACCCGCTCACACAGAGCAACAGTGGCTCATGTGTCCTAATGGAGTCACTCATATATGCAGCAAGAACCAACTGTGCGCTGCTGTTGTGTACACTACTCTTGGTGACGTGATGCAGCATTGAACCGGAGAATGCCTGCCTGTTTTATCAGCTCTTCAGCTTTAAATGTTTAGAACCAATATGCAGCAGTTTCATTTGTATCATTGGTTTCTCTTTGGTGTCTTAGATTCGGTGTAGGTGATGTCAAGAGTGCTGTTTTGCTGATGGCAGTAGGGGCAGTAGGGTTTTCCACATGAGCGGATAACAAGTAGTTGTATGTCCCATCTAAAAGGACTCCCGTGCACATTTCAGGGGAAGGGTCACGCTTTGATTTTCTCATCTCAAAACCTCCTGGTACTTCCTGTGTCTGCATGTCTCACTTTCGTAGTCACCTCATCCATTTCATTTTGAAATCGCAAACCCAAATTGTTGTCAGAAACTATGTCTCTCTTTCTCTCTAAATGCTTCAAAAATTGGTACCTTTTTCTTTTTTACTGGTCCTGAGGCTTGAACTCAGGGCCTGGGCTCTGTCCCTGAGCTTCTTGTGCTCAAGGCTAGCACTTTACCACTTGAGCCACAGAACAATTCCAGCTTTTTCTGTTTATGTGGCAGTGAGGAATTGAGCCCAGAGCTTCATGCATGCTAGGCAAGCACTCTACCACTAAGCCACATTCCCAGCCCCCTGGTACCTTGTTTTTTACCAACTAATTCCTAGGTGAAAAATATTGGAATTAGATATAGAGGTAGAGGGGTACTTGGATACAACCATACTAAGAAAAATGAGTTGAGAAGACCACAGCCACCAGTGGAGCAGTGCATGCAGTTAGCTTTGCATATACATAGATTGCAGTGAGGGAACTGAGGCCCACAGGCTGACACCTTTCTGAACCTGCACACTTGGAAATAGTTGGAGCCCACAGTGTGTGTCCACTTGTTTATATGTACACTGCTATTTTTAAGGGACAAAGGCCTGTATTACAGAATAAGACACGGTAGTGCATCCTAATGTACATACATCCGTTCTTCACATATAGAAACACCCAGGTCAAGTAGGAGGTAATGGTGCCCTCCGGAGTGGGACTGGAATTAGGGAGACAGTTAACTAGGCACACTTTTGATGGACTCGTGGCTTTATGCCTCAGGGCAAGTACTCTCACTTGAGCTACACCCAAGGTCCTTTTAGTTTTTTCTAATAGGGCTTCACTTCCCTTTCCTTCCCCCTCCCCACAGCTGACTGGGATCCTCTTGTTTATCATTATGGTTTATCTGTGAAGGCAGTTGCATACCACTGCTCTGCTTTTATTGGTGGTTTAGATGAGGGTCTGAGATAACATCCCTTACCCCTATCTGGGAGGGGCTGGGGAGCCGGTAGACTGGCCTTGAACTAGAATTCTCCCAATCTGGCAAGTAGCTAGGATTACCCCTATAAGCCACCTGCCCGTCTGTTAACCTTTCCTTGAATGTCCTGTGGCTGTTGATTTGTTTGGCTGCGACCACGATTGCTAGTCCTCCTCCCTCCCCCACTCTTCTCCTCCCTGCCCCCCCCACCCATCTCCCCTTTGTCCCCTCTTACTCTCCTTGCCTCAGATCCTCCTCCCCTCCCTCCTTCCTTTCCTCCTATCCTTCCCTCCTCTTTCCCTTCACCCCTCCTTTGCTCCTTCCCTATGTGTGTGACTCCTATCCTGACCTTAGTTGCCTGCCTACCTTGAAAGCTTATAGTCTGTTTAGTTAACCTGGCAAGTGTCCCTGACCTCAGGCTGTAGCCCATCTCTCTTAATCCATTGCTCCAGTAATCGTAGTTGTCTTTTGTGTTTTTTGTTTGTTTGTTTGTTTTGTTGGGGTGTCTCAATAATCTCTTTCGGTCTTTTTTTTAAAACTTTTTGTGGTTGAGCTCTGTCCCTAACATACCGTCCTGTCCTGTGTCTGTTTAGGCCAGATTTTCTCCCACGTGCCCCTTCCCCTGGGTTACTGTGAGCCAAATCCCAGGCATCTCACTTGGTTTCCATGCATTCTGGTATATATTCCTGAAAGAGAAAGTAACTTCTTTAACATAATCATTGATGCCATCATTGGATTTTCAAATCCTCAGCCTGGAATTTGGTAATATCAGCAATACACACAGAGACATACTGAGACTGGCTTTGAGGCAGGAGAATCTGGAATTTGGGGCCAGCCTGGGACTCATAACCAGGTCCTGTCTCAAAAAATAGAACAAAGGAACAAGATCCTTGATGTCACATTTCTCAGTCCCGTATATGTTTTGTGGTTAGAAAATTGGTTTTTTTTGTTTTGTTTTGTTTATTTGTTTTTGTTGGTTGTGGGGCCTGGAACTCTGGGCCTGGGCGCTGTCCCTCAGCTCTTCAGCTCAAGGGTAGCACTCTATCACTTGAGCTATAGCACCACTTCTGGCTTTTTCTGAGCTGAGGAATCAAACTCAGGTCCTCATGCATGTAAGGCAAACACTCTACCACTGAGCCACCTTCCCAGCCCCTGTGTGTTTATTGTTTTTTTTTTGTTTTGTTTTTTGTTTTGTTTGGTCTTTTTTGGGTCCGGTCGTGGGGCCTGAACTCTGGGCCTGGGCACTGTCCCTCAGCTCTTTAGCTCAAGACTAGCACTCTACCACTTGAGTCACAGTGCCACTTCCGGGTTTTTTCTTTTTTGCTTATGTGGTGCTGAGGAATCAAACCCAGGGCCTCAGGCATGCAAGGCAAGCGCTCTACCACTGAGCCACCTTCCCAGCCCTGCCCGCCTCCGCGCCCCCCCCCTATGTTTTTTATGGCAAATCAGAGACCCAAGGAGACGACCCTTTCATCTGCTAATGTAAATGCTAATTGCTTCTTCCTGGTGCTGTTTATTTTCTGGAAGAGGTGTGTCATTTACCCTGTAGAATTTTGCACTTCTGGGGCTTTACATCCTTCAGTCTCATTAACATGTTCTCAACCTCCGAATGTAGTGGGTTTGCTAAAACTCAGGGTTTGGGGGGGGGGGGTTCTTTATTTTTAGTTTCAAGCCTGTAATCTTAGCTGCTCAGGAGGCTGAGATGTGAGGATCTGGGTTCGAAGCCTGCCTGGGCATAAGTCCCCATGAGACTTTTATCTACAGTTAACTGTTCAAAGAACAGAAGTGGCTCTGTAGCTCAAAGTGGTAGAGCACTAGCCTTGAACAAAACTGCTCAAGGACAACACCCAGCATACTTAACCAGGACAATGTTTTTCCTAGTGTATCTCCTTCTATATCTAATCAATAATTGTCCGTATAAGTTCCAATGAATAGATGGGTTTGTGTGAGGTTGGTCTGAACTCACTCATTTTAAAGATTCTCAGTATTTTGTGTCTGTGTATGCACACAGTCCTAGGACTTGAACTTGGGGCCTGAGCACTGTCCCTAATCTTTTTTGCTCAAGGCTAGGACTCTGCCACTTGAGCCATAATTCTGCTTGTGGCTTTTTGGTGGTTAGTTGGAGGTGAGTCTCATGAACTTTCCTGCCCAGGCTGGCTTTGAACTTCAGTCCACCAG